GCTCACTGCAGCCTCCATCTCCCAGGTTCCAGCGATTCTCCTGCCTCAGCCTCGGGGGTAGCTGGGATTACAGGCACATACCACCACGCTGGGCTAATATTTGTATTTTTAGTAGAGTCGGGGTTTCACCATGTTGGCCAGGCTGGTCTCAAACTCCTGACCTCCGCCCACCTCAGCCTCCCAAAGTGCTGGGATTACAAACGTGAGCCACTGCACCCAGCCCAAATCCCTTTTATTTTCTTTTTATTTATATATATTTTTTTGAGATGGAGTTTTGCTCTTGTCACCCAGGCTGGAGTGCAATAGTGCAATCTCAACTCACTGCAACCTCCACCTCCCGGGTTCAAGCGATTCTCCTGCCTCAGCCTCCCGAGTAGCTGGGATTACAGGCACCTGCCACCATGCCTGGCTAATTTTTTGTATTTTTAGTAAAGACGGGGTTTCACCTTGCTGGCCAGGCTGGCCTCAAACTCCTGACCTCAGGCAATCCACCCGCCTCAGTCTCCCAAAGTGCTGGTATTATAGGCGTGAGCCACCTTGCCCGGCCCCAAATCACTTTTATTTATTTATTTATTTATTATTTATTTATTTGAGATGGAGTTTCGCTCTTATTGCCCGGGCTGGAGTACAATGGCGCAATCTTTACTTAATGAAACTTCCGCCTCCCGGGTTCAAGCTATTCTCCTGCCTCAGCCTCCCAAGTAGCTGGGATTACAGGCATGCGCCACAACACCCAGCTAATTTTGTATTTTTAGTAGAGATGGGGTTTCACTATGTTGGTCAGGCCATCTCAGACTCATGACCTCAGGTGATCCACCCACCTCGGCCTCCCAAAAGTGTTGGGATTACAGGTGTGAGCCACTGCACCTGGCAAATCCCTTTATTAATAAAACACCAAACTCTCCTGGACCAAGAATGTGAGAATTTTATTATTTGAGCAACCTGGATTTTTACCCCAGGAGCAATGAAACCATCCATGAGACCTGGAAAAAGCTGAAGCTCTCTTTTTTTTCTTTTTTTCTTTTTTTTAACTTGTATACAGTACAGTTTCAAACAAAATTGGGGCAACTTTGTACTTTGTACCTTATTAAAACTGGGGCTTACACAGTGTGTTTGGTTTGACCTTGTCTTCATAGGATCTTCTGGCTGATTCCTTCTCTGGATGAGTCCCTGAGAATTTCTAGAATCTGGGGAGAGTAAAGGAGGGTCTGGAGCCTTCTCTATATACAAGGAAATCCCAGTTTTGTTAAAAACTTGCCAAAGGCTTGGTGATATAACTCCAAAGAGAAATTCACAGTTTCCTTTCAGGTACTTCTTTGGGATTCTGTAAAGAATTGTGACTGTACACTAGGATGTTTAATAGGAAGGAAACTCCCTCCTTTATGACATCACCAGACAGAGAGGTAGCTAAGGGGACTAGTTGAGACACTCTTAGAACAACAGCCACTTTCGTGGGAGCCCAAGAACAGCAGCTTTAAAACGGGGTAAATATTCAGGCATCATTAGGATCCTGAATACAAGCGAGCCAGTAAAATATGGGATCTACTCAGAAAGGCACAATCTATCAGATGGTCAAGACAAATAAACCTGGGGCCAAGGTAGCAGTTTCAGCACAGAGAGGGTCTGAGGTTACTACTAACACATCCCCTCAGCGGGGACATGGGTACATTCTTGCCTCAAGCCATCGAAGTGCTGCAGTCTCCCTGAACCCTTCCCACCGAAGATCAGAAGCTGCACATCCCACCACTCCCCATTCGGCATCAGACTATCCTCGATCTGTCTCCCTCCAGTCAGGGCCTGGACACTATGCGGTACCCACTCCTCGGGTAACCGAGACTGGACCAAGAACAGAATCATCCCGCCATTCCTCTCCTCCTAGAAAGAACCAGCAAACTCAGACACTGGCTTCCCATGCTTCAAGCAGACTACGGAATGTTAGTCCACCTGGAGAGGAGGCAGCACGAAGAGGCGGTGAGAGCAAGTCAGGGCGCGAGGTCAGCCATCATGCCTCATCAATCCCAGATGCCAAATCTACTCGTCGGTTGAGTTTTCAAGATCAGAAGGATAACTTACAATCACAAATCTTAAAAGATGACCCACCATCCAAGGTCCAGAACCCCCAAGGAGTCAGAGTTCCCCGTAGGATTTTGACTTACCCAAAGGATGAAGCAGTACAAACTGAGCCCATCCAAAGGATTACGACTGCTAGCGAGATCAGATCTCCAAGGAGTCCCTCTCGCCCAGAGCACAGAAGCAGCTGTGTCTCTGCAGACTATCAGACAGCCCAGAGAAAGGTCCCTGTAGAAGAATCAGAAACAGGTCCTTACAGTTCAATTCCTTCAAAACCCAAGGCCTTGTATAGGAATATGAACTTGGACTCATCACTCAAACTCTCTGTCCTTAAAGATTCTGATGGTGGACACCGAGTTTCTACACGGGTAGACCCTGAGTCTCTTCACAAGTATTCTGTCTATCCTGAAACCAAGCCCTCCGCAAAGGTCTTAGTATCATCACAGGTGGAGTCCAATGTGAGGGCCCCAATCCGAGGAAACAACGAGGTTGGCCGCAGGGTCACCATCTCCCCAGGGGTACAGTCAGTAGAGCCAACTCACCGTGTGACAGCTCAATCAGTGTCTGAGGGCTCCCACAAGTCATCCATGTTTGTCACTCCAGAGCCCATCTATAAACAGCAAACCCCAAAACCCCCAGAAACTACCTACATGTCCCAAGGACCTACACCCAGGTATCCAGAACTCTCGCAAAAGCCCTCCATCCATGCAGAACTGGAACTGACCCCTCGGCCCTTGCCTCCTCGGTCCTTACCTAGGTACGGACCTGACTCCTCATGGTGGCCCTTGCTGAATCCTGAAGTTGAAACACCCCAAAGCCAGCCGACAACACCTGATTTTGAGCTTAAGTGTTCTCCTTCCCTAGATCCTTTATTGTCCGGTTTTAAAATAGACTCTAGCCCTTTCTGTGAGGATCTGAAGTTCCAGAGAGAGAAGGCAAGCCTATCACCACCGTCACCACCAAAGGAGTTTCCAAGTTGGGCACCACTGAATAAAGTGCCACAGACCCCCAAGCACACCTGCAAACAACCCATTCAAAGGTTTAGTGCTTTCTTCCTGGGTATGTGAAGAAGCAGACTGCCCAGGTGCAGCCCCAATTTAGTGAGATGGGATGTTGGGGTGGGCAGGAAAGACCACCTCTTCATTCCGGGAATAAGGGCTGCTCTCCTGCCAGTGCCAAAGCTAGTCCTATCCTTGAGCCTATTGCTCCATTCCTTCCCTGCCAGCTTCTCTGCTCCAAGCTAATGACATCGATGATGATGCTTGGGCCGGGCGACAGGCATTGATTCCTCCAGGCAACACTGCTTACCTTTTCAATTGAAGGTAGTAGAGAGGGCTTGCAGGGTTGAAAGCTGCTTCCTGAGTGGGGATGAAGAACTGAGCTGGGGTGAGGGCCGGTAAGGGCTGTTAAATAGAATAAGGACCTCAGGTAAATACTCTGACTACAAAGTGGAGAGGGTGGGGTGCAGATGAGCTGGGATTCCAGGAGGGGAAAGGCATTCACAGTGGCACAGAGAGAGGGTGTAAAAAAGGGAAAGGGAGAATGGGTATATGATATATAGTTCTAGGCTGGAGGAGCTTCTTGGAGAGGACCAAGGGCTGAGGGCACCTTTGGGTGGAGAAATGTGGAGCTAGAAAGGGAGCTGCAAGTAGTGGAGGGTGGGATGTGCATCCCACAGAGAGAAGAAAAGCAACCATCTCTCTGTTACTTTCAGATGTCTCAGAGGAAATGTACAATCGTGTCATCTGGTGGCTGAAAGGTCTGTGCTTTTCCCTCCTATGGGTCCACTGTGGGAGCTTGGGGGATGGGAGGACAGGTGAGGAGTGGCATCTATGTATCTACAGAGTTGGGTCGTTTAGGAGATAAATGCTGGGATTTTGACCTGAAGAAGCAGAGGAACTTCTCATCTTGCTGAAAATTTCACCATTAGAGTCATTTCTTTGGGGGCTTGGGATCTTTTCCATTTTCAAGAGTCTCCTTTTAACAGGAAGTTACTTCTGGAATGGAGAATAATTTAAGCCTCATGGCCTTTTCAGCTTAGTTGGTCACCTATCACATGATTTAAAAAAAATACACCAAAGCAAACCGCCTGCTTCACAGTCTTGCTCAGAGTTGACTTCACCCTAATTCAGGCTGGGGACTCTTCTCATGTGTTTCTCGGGTTCCTCAGAACCTTCCTCATGCCCCTACTCTACCACCTGGGGTACTTACTGGTGCTGCCCAGGCAGGATCTTCAGAGATGTCTGGGCCTCCCCCTTGAGACCGTCAGTGTGTCTTGCAGCTCTAGAATCCTTAAAAGAAGTGTCCCCAGACCTTGTGACCCTCCGCTCCCTTTATACTCTTGGCTTCTCTGGGGGCAGGGGAGGGTGGAGACCAGCCCTCAAGGAGTAAATCTTGGCAGCAGGGACCTCTTGCTGTGAGCATTTTGGCCCAAAATATACTCCAGCCCTATGAGCATGACAGAGGCCAGGGCTATGGATAAAGCAGTTCCTGGGGAGGAGAGAGCCCTGGGAATGCCGTCCAATCCCAACCAGCATGAGCCCTCCTAGTGATGGTCAGCAAAGAGCAGAGAAGGGCAGTCCTCCTCAGAGGGAGCAAAGCTCTATAGAGTCGTGGCACAGTAAAGTACAAACTCGAGTTATCTAACTGGATTTGGGCCCTGGGTCCACTATTTTCTGACTGTGACCTTGGGTAAGTTATTTTACCTCTCCAAGCATCAGTTTCCTCATCTGTTAATGAGAATAATGGCTCCCTCTTAGGGTTATTGTGAGGATTATTACAAGCTATTACCGAAAAAACACTTAGCACGGTGCTTGGCAACAGTGAGCATTCAGTAAATACTAGCTGCTGTTATTTGGGCCACTTGCACTAGGAAGGGATTGGGCCAGGTTTGCCCAAGTCCACTGGGCATCTTTAGTAAATTTCTCTTTTTCCCCTCCTATTGGCACTCTCTGAATTCCATTTGCTGCCCCCTGGGAATGCCTGGCTTCTACTCTGTTATGACAGATGAGGAGGTAAGAATGCCCCTGGGAGGTTACTCCCAGTCTTCCTGGGCCCACCCTACAATCCAAATCCATCTCCTGTCCTGTAATGGGAGTAGGCATGGAGGGAGACAGAGCTGCTCCCTATGGTTGAGCAGATTGTTCACTGCACAAGAGCACTGGGTGGAGGGGGTAAGTGGGGGGCCGAAATCTAACCTGTGTTCCATTTGCCAAGCTGTGCACCTGTGGGGCTGCATCTCCCCAGAGGGGGATTTGCACAAAAGCACTGTATGAGCTAGTTGCAGTCCTAGAAAGAACAGACCTTTTGGCAGATGATGAATCTTGCCAAGTGCTCTGTGGGAAGGCTGTCTAGGTAGCCGTTGGATCAGTCCCCACCTGGTTCTCCTCTTTTCAGCCTGGGGCATTCTAGAAAGGGGTCGCTTTTTTGGGTTACACACTATTTGGGTCCTCAACTTGGAAAAACTCAAGGTGGACTCTGCTCTCAGCAGTCCTGTGTCCTCATTTTGGCAGTGTCCTGATTTCACTGCATTGTTCCCATAAGTACTTTGGCTATTCTTGGCCCATGTTTGATAAGATGGTCAAAGCTCTTCCTACTTCCATTATTTTCTCTTGCCGTATTTCTCTATTACCCAAAGCCTAACAATGGCCTCTAATGGGTCCCATTCATGGGCTGACTCAGGATGGACAGTTGGCCACGGATAGAAAGCAAATGAGTGCATAGTGGGGGTCAACCTAACCTCAGATAATGGAACAGCTGAAGGGGAGGTGACCAGAAACAAGGCTGCCACCTCCCACTGCCATGGGTTCTTATCCAACCCTGAGCTCAGCTGTAGGTGGGAGTGGCTACTTTCAGAGATTATCTCCATGCAAGACAGTAAGTCCCTCCCTCCCTTTCTCCCTTCCTTCCTTCGTTCCTCCCTCCCTTCTTTCAATGAACAATTTTTATTCAGATGCCTAGCACTCTACTAGGTCCTTTTAGGGGACGCATTGAAGTTTCACAGCACACACATTCCTTGGCCTTGAGAAACTTGCCATGATATGGTTGGGGAGATAAAACACAAACAGGAAACATTTAAACAACAATATGAAATAGTTGGTGCTGAAATGTCAAAATAGATGGAACAGACTGAGTAAGTGCTCTTGGAGGGTCTTAGGAGAGAGGGAGTTCGCAGGGATATGGGTAGGGGGTCAGGGATATGGGTAGGCCCTCCTTCCCAAAGCCAAGGGATGGTGGTGTCTTAGCTAGCCTTTTGCTCACCCCTAGATGCAAATCTGTACCTTTGGGAAGGGGTTAATATTTTCCTTCAGTCAAGATTTGATGTTTTTGACTGAGCAAGCTCCTCCCTGTTCTCCCCCATCCTCACCCCCTTTTTCTGTGCATCATGTTTTAGTTTAGTAAGTCAAAAGCCTTGGCAACAGGATGGCTCCTTCCTAAAATAGCTCTTATCCTGTCTCAATAATTACAGCTTTCCAGCCCTGTTCAGCAACAGAGTTGCTCCCCAGAAGCCGAGAAGAGAAGGCTCCCAGGCAGCTGGGCTGCTGATCTTCTCTGACATTCTGGAGGTAGGATGGCATGGAGGTGGGCCAGGTGCTCTCTAATGCATGAGAGAGCTAGGCTCTCCCCAGCCTGTCCCCCAGCCAGCATGGCCCCATGCAGCCTCAGGATGGAGATGCTGTGGTGCTGGTGTCCAAGGCCTCTGATTCCTCTAATCTGGGAATGGTTGACCAGATTCCATTCCTGGCAGGGATTCTCTGGTGGCCTGGCCACGATGCCTGGCTTGTGGAAGGCATCATGTTTGTTGTTGAGCTTCACAAGCTTCTCTGGGTGAACAGCTGGGGATGGCACCTGATTCAGCCCATCTCTTTCTCCTAAGTGTCAGTCCCTTCCCAAATAGCCCTTCAAGGCCCTTTTGTCTAAGGAATGGGGTGGACAGATGCTTCTCATCCTTGGATTGGGACATTAGGGGCTGGAGTCTCCCTAGAGGAGTTTGTGCTGGACTGAGGGAAGCATTCCTGATGGGGTTTTTTTGGGATCAGAACTAGCAAAAGCTCAACAGGAAGGTCCTGAGGGTGCCCTAATGGGTCACTGGGGGCTGTCTTCTCACATAGCCCTGGGGAGTTCCTGAAAATAAAGCAGTTCTGATGGGAGGGACTGCAATGCCTTTGATGGACAGGGTGTGTGAGCCCCAAGATCCTGTTTCCTCAAGGCATCTGACCTACTCATCCTTAAATGTGACTTCTCAGGCTGTCATAGGGCAAGGTGGTTTACTCTCTGCTCTATCAATTATGCAAGAAACCAACTCTGGAAAATAGGCCAGGAATCAGAGGAGGCCATCTCACTGATAATTAAGGCAGACCTCAGTGTCTTTTGGATGACATGTCATGTGACCCCTGAGGGATAGGATGATCAGCCTCCTGTTGTCTTCTGAATCACAGGAACATTTTGCTCAGGTTGGCTTCCTTTACAAAGAGAAATCCAAAGCCTTTGAGGAACTCAGGGAGTTTCCACATTCATGAGGATGTTCACAGAATCCTAGGTCATGGGCTATCTGGAAGGAACCCTCCCTCACTTTTTTTTTTTTTTTTTTTTTTGAGACGGAGTCTCGCTCTGTCGCCCAGGCTGGAGTGCAGTGGTGCGATCCATAGCTCATTGTAATCTTGAACTCCTGGGCTCAAGTGATTCTCCTGCCTCAGCCTCCTGAGCAGCTGGGACTATGGGCACCAGCCACTGTACCTGGCATTTCTCTTGCTTCGGGTAGAGGTTCATAGTTGAGAAGAAAGAGAATCATTGAAAGAATGGAGCAGAACTGCTGAAAATGGGGCAAGGCATCTCGGGAGGCTTTTTTTTTTTTTGAGACGGAGTCTCGCTCTGTCGCCCAGGCTGGGAGTGCAGTGGCATGATCTCGGCTCACTGCAACCCATGCCTCCCGGGTTCAAATGATTCTCCTGCCTCAGCCTCCTGAGTAGCTGGGATTACAGGCACCCACCACCACGCCCAGCTAGTTTTCGTACTTTTAGTAGAGACAGGGTTTCACCAAATTGGTCAGGCTTGTCTCAAACTCCTGACTTTGTGATCTGCCTGCCTCAGCCTCCCAAAGTGCTGAGATTACAGGCATGAGTCCCCACACCCGGCCTTGGGAGGATTTTTATAGCAGTTTGACCATTGTTGCACAGCTTCTTAGGAAGCAAGCATCTTACCCCGTCAGATGGCACTCTGTTCATTTCCAGCTACCATGGGCAGCCAATTCCAGAGCAGGATGGAAGGCTGGTGACCTCTGGCTAAAACTTGCTAATTTGGGGACAGGCTAAGTTGACCAGCTCATCAGGGTTTGCCTGGGACTTTGCTGGTTTTAGCACTGAAAGTCCCATGTCTCAAGAACCCCCTCAGTCCTGGGCAGACCAGGACAGTTGGTCACCTAGTACAAGTTGTGGTGCAGTCTGCCTGGAAGCACAGAGTGAGGGGACAATGTCCTGGCTTCACAGTGATACATGGGCAGGTTACTCCCTCTGCCTATAAAATGGGGGCAGGAAAATACGATGCTTTTCTCTCAGACTTGATAGCAGAGCTGAGGCCAGACTCTCTTCTTAGTTCTTTGTTTTGCCCAGAATAATCCCACATAGGGAAAAATCTGCCACATCCATCGTGGACTTTTTGGTGTATTTTCAGAAGCTGTGTGGTGACTGGAACCAATCTCCAACATCACATCTTTCTGCAGAGTAGTTTGGTGCTGTTTGAAATGGTGGATTTTCCAAGTAACAGAAACAGTGGGCCTGGGTAGAGTAGGGAGCTTGGCTTCACAGGCCAGGGTGCATACTCGAGTGAGGAAGTAAATCTGTAACCAAGGAGCCACCCTGACAGGTGCTCAGCCAGAGGCAGGCTGTCCT